GGAAAGAGATGACTGAAAAAAGATGTCTATATTTAAGGTTTGAGCAACTGGGTGGTAGTATTACCATTTAGTAAACTGTGGAAAACTTGGAGGACATATCAAATTGGGTTGGGGGAGATGAGTTCTGTTTTGGACTTTTTTTTTATTTTATGAAAGGAAGAGACAGAGATGGAGAGAGAAAGAAAGTGAGCAAAAGAGAGAGAGGCAGAGATAAGTAGTTTTTTTGACAATGTCACCATGTCATAATCCTCTTGCCTCAGTCTCCCAATTAGCTAGGATCACAGATGTGTGCCACCACACCCAATATATCCAGGTTGATCTGAGAAATGAACTGGGGCTCCCATGAGGCCAAGACTCCCAGGTGGTGGAACTATCTGTACAACACCATGGTTTGATAAAGAGACTATTAAATATCTCAGTGAAAGTGTCAATCAGGCAGCTGGCTGGGCCCTGCTCTAATTCTTTGTTTATTGTTTAAGAGTATAAGCAAACAATTGGCTTAGTAACTAACCCTGGGAAATATCTATAATCTTCCCTTCCTTCCTTAGCCCATTTAAATATGGCTTGAGTTTCTTTGACTCAGTTTTAGAATTCTTTTATTAAACTACCCATTGTTTCCATGTTATCAAATCTAGTGGTTATTTCTCCATCTTTATCATACTCAACTCATAACCACGCTGGACACAGATCACCACTCCCTCCTCCCCCTTTTTTAAAATTTTCAAATAACTTTCCTCTCTTCGATTCTGATTTCTACTCACTTAGTTAGACTTTTCTGCCCTATGTGGCATCAACCAGGATGCCTCAGTGGTATTCAGTTGGTGGTGGGTTGGGCTGGAAGGTTCAAGAAGGCTTCATTCACGGGTCTGCTTCCTTGGTAAACAGGGCTAGAAGGCTGGCCTTAGCTGGCCACTGTTCTCCTTTGTGTGGTCATAGCCTTTCATATGAATGCCCCAGTGGGGTGCTCAGATTTATTACATGGGTGCTCAAGGTATGAGACTGAGTTTTCTAGGAGGAGCCAAGAAAGAGGGCTGTAGTAAGAATGTGGGATCTAAAGGGATTTCCCCCAGAGAACTACGGTGTTAACTAAAGCATGTTAGTATCTATTTACATATTGTCAAAAAATAGGAAGACACAGATGCTGCAGAAGAGGGATGATGTAACTGGGATCGAAAACCTTGAGAAAGTAAGGGACAGTCCCACATGGCCGACCACAGTTGGAGTCCCAGACCTGGTGGCTTGCTTTCTCTCTCTCTCTCTGTGTTTGTCTCTCTCGTCAAATTAAAGTAAATGCAGCATTCTTTAAAAAAAAAAAAAAAGAAAAAGAAAAGAAAAGAAAAGAAAAGAAAAGAAAAGAAAAGAAAAGAAAAGAAAAGAAAAAAGAAAAGAAAAGAAAGGGTCTCAGAGCAAAGAAACTGGTGCAGCAGGACACCATTCCTGGTAAAAGGAGAAGAGAGAAATGTAGACATACAGAGGCACTTTGAATCTTTGCTCCAAAGTGCCATTGTCAATAAGGTTTTCACTGATCCCCAGTACTTAATGGCATATCTAGGATCCCTAACCTCTCTTCTCTTTTTTTTTCCCATAATATATATACATATCCATAGTACAAATAGGCATTACCCATAACATTGGATATGCCATGATGTTTTGCTGACTTTTTTATTGACTCCCTCACTGCAGTACAAGCCCATAGAGACTGACAGTATTTCTTAGCATCTCCAACAGTGCCTGACGCATAGCAGGTGCTCAGTAAACGTCAGTGAATGAAGGAAGGCGTGAACAGGGGTACAGCACTGGGGTGCTTTTTAAGGTCATGAGCCGTGCTGAGAAAACGAGGTATGTGAAATCCAGATGTTGAAAGGTGCCCCAGGGTGGTAGTCTGGAGAGAACAGAATTAGATCTTAGTGGTTCCAGCCACAGCCCTCCCTCCCCTGTTTTTTGGCTGCCTCACCATGATCAAGTTACTGAACCCCTCTGACCCACAGGATTAGGACCTTGTTGGCACCAAGTGAGTGCTCACCGAAGTTTGGCCCTCCTTTCCCACGGCTCTTTATTTCCTCCAACCTGCTCGATTTTTCTCTTGACCAGTGTAAGCACCTGTGCTTGGTCTCTTTTCTTTAAAGTCTAGGGGAACAAAACACGGGCTCCGCCTTTCCGCTGACCCTAGCCCGCGGGTCTGTGTGCCCTGGGGTTGCCCTGAGAGCCAAGGATCGGTGAGGCGGGGCGTCGCGGGGCGGAGCTGGTCGGGCTAATCCCGGGGCTGCTGAGTGAGCGAGCAAGGGATTCAGCTGCAGACAGGCAGGGTCTCCTGACCGTCGGTGCTTGCGACCCTCGTCTGCCAGTCGGTTTGTCTCAGGCCATGGCGAAGCTGATGGTGCTCACACTCGTGGGGCTAGGACTGGCTCTCTTCAGGGACCACCGGTCTTCTTACCAGTAAGTCGGGTTGTGGTGAAGGTTGCAGCCCGGTCGACCTCACCTTCACCCCTCTCCCCTCAGCCAACTCCAGGAATTTCCCCAGAAGGAGGGTTCAGCATCTTAGAAAATCTCCAAGCATCTTGCAAGAGTTTCATGAACGTTTTCTAAATTTCCTGTGCCACTTGAAAACATACACTTGCTCACCATCTCAGCGATGAGGTACCGCTAACTTGTCAGCATACACTAATTGATTTTTCATGAAGATCTGTGTTGACTGCAGATTCACTTCTCAAGCTGGTTCAAAAACAAAAACCCATCAGCCGAACAGAAAAGCAAATAGCCAGATAAGCAGTTCCTCTGATTCTGTGTGAATTAGGGGAAGAATCCTCTCACTACCAGCCTTGGCTGCCTGGCCATGATGCAAGCCTTCCTGCCTTGGAGATTCTCAATTTGAGGCCATGCTGAGGGACACAGAAAATCTGCTATGGACTGTGACAAGTAGGAGCAAACGCACACTGGGGTGGCCCTCAGCTCAGCAGAGGGAGGTAGCTCGAGGTTGCTGGATTAGTATCACAGATGGATTCACCTTTGGATGGTTCTTCTAGCTTTTTAGCAATGTTATCCTTAAATTTTGTCTTGTTAGAGGATTGGACATGATCTTTGCCTGCACGTTGGAGTTCAACCCCAGCTTGGCCACTTCAAAACTCTGTGGCCTTGGAAAGCCATTTGATCTTTGTTATCTGTAGAGCAAGGGAAATAACACCCCAGAGAGGTGTTTGAAGATTAAACAAGAGTTTATTCTTTACCTAAACTGTTGCAGCAATGATTATCTTGACATACACTTGCTTGGGCCACAAAACGGACCCTAAAGCACCGACATTTGAGGTGGTTCAGGCTCTGATCCTTGAGTGTAGGATCTGGGACAGATCCTCATTTGTGTCTCTGAACCTCAGCTGCTTCCATAGACTGGAAATGATAATACAGACTCATAGAGGAAGCAACCAACACTGCCTGAACCATAGTAGCTATTCAACAAATGTTAGTGCCCTACCTTCCGGTAAGGTATTTAATAAACCATTGCGTACTATGGGGGTAGAAGGAGGTGCTTTAAGAATATATCAGGAAGCTGGCGTGGTGGTCTGCCTGTAATCAAAGCAACTCAGAGGGGGAGACAGGAGAATCACCAATTCAAGGCCAGCCCATACCACATAGCAAGATCCTGTTTTTGGAAAAAGAAAAAAGTATCAGAATTGAACTTTCATGAGAACTTTTTACAGAGGTACAAAGTCTAGAGAGCATCTTAGTTTCTAAGGCTTAGTCAATAATATCTCATTATTTACTCTAAAGTAAAACATTAATAAACATTTAATGGAACATTTTGGATTTTTTTAAAAAATTATATGAGTTTATGGACTAATTAGAAGCATACATTCATAAAAGGTTTTTGGTAAGTAATTATGGTTTTTTCTTTGGTTATGTTTTAAAATTATGAAGTATTATAAAAAAGTAAGAAACAGTTGGTGATATGGGATTTAAAATCATGTAAAAATTAGTTTGTGAGTTTTTGTTAATCACAGAACTGCTTGCTGCCAAAGGAGATAAGATTACACAGAAACACACACACACACACACACACACACATACACACACGTTTAGAGAGATAAGGGTGGTGCAGAGCCTCCAGCAATATCCCAGACACGGCGAGGAAGGGGAATGGTTCCCACTATGCAGAAGACCCTAAAACCTGCCTATGCAATGGAGTCTATGGACAAGCTGTAGGGGCATCACAAGCAGAGAGGCCCCACCCCACACTATTTAATCAGAATCAGCAGATGGTGTAGAGGTTAAGGTAATGGATCCCAGATGGTTGACTCTGTGGTTTGTGTCCCAGACCCTGCAGCTTGAGAAACACCCCAGGTGCATGTGCATATATGCCCCCAAACCTGACAAGATGGAGGAAGAGCAGTTGTAGTGTGCCATTCCTCTGGTGGCGAGGAGATTTCTCACTTTCCCTCTCTCTTTCTCTCTCTGTGGTGAGCACACATACTCTATGGAAAAACTATAAAAAGAAAAAGAAAGAATCAATGATATTTAACAAACTCCCCAGAGGATTTGGCTACACTCTCTGAAGAACATTCAAATCCTGTCATCACTTGTGTGAGAACTACATTGAGATCCCGGAGGACTGATAGTAAATTACCTTTATCGCCCTTGTAGAGACGAGGTATCTGAGTCCCAAAGATTATGATTCTTCCCGAGAGAGAAGGGAAGAGATGATGTACTGGGGCCTGCACTGGGACAAGCCAATTCCCAGAGTGGATACATCATACAGCATTTTTTCTTCAGAGATCAATGTGTGTGTGTGTGTGTGTGTGTGTGTGTGTGTGTGCAGGGGTGATGATGGTAGAGCTTACGGGAAGTCATATAAGCCCAGGCTGTAGAGAGTTTCTGAAAGAATACAAGAGGAGCCTCAAGGAATTCCTGAGCTTCCCAGGTGAGAGCAGCACAGAAGGAACTGAGAGCTCCCCTGGACCAAGAGCTTCCCTCCCATTGTGTAGTCAGCTGCATGTGTGCCCTTCCAGGGTATGTATTGCACAAGTCCAGGGAGTGCCTTGAACTTGGATTAAAACAGCACTTCCCCGGAAGGTATAGATTGTGGCAGTTGCATCTGGGCATGTGTTTCACATTCATACTTCAGTTTCAATTCCACTGTAGCCACTTCCTGACTTTGTGGCCTTGTGAGGTCATTCAATCTTAGTCACCTATAGACTAGAGAAAATAACACCCACAGAAGTGTTTGAGGATTAAAAGAGGGTTTATAGCTTACTTGAACTGTTGTAACAATGATTATCTTGTTGAGATATGACTTGTTTGGGTCACAAATTAGAACTTAAAGCAATTGAGTGCTGGATTAATACCTTCTTGCCTACCTTGGGCTCCCTTGAACAATAATTATTTTACCTTTCCCAAGTTAAGGAACTTCTTCCATGAAAGAAAAGCCTGAAATGAAACAGGAACTCAGCGGTTCTGCCTTTTTCTGTCCTCTATGAACCCATCACATGTATGTAGTGCACCTTGTGAGCTGGATAGCATGCTAATTCTTCCCATGTGATTTGGAGTGTAAGAAAAGCTAATTTGGCTATCCTTAGGACTTTTTCACAAGTCTTGATCCATTTTGTGATTTCTCACCCTTGAATCTATTCTTCCATGCCATCCTCTGTGTGTCCTTGGTTAGAACCTTCACCCTTAATACCTTTGCCTGTCCTTTGAGTTCATTGTGAGTATTCTATGAATATTCATGGCACTTTCACTAGGTCAGTGATTTTTTGATTTCTTTGATGAAAAGAATTATTTTTTTAATTTTATTTATTATTATTATTATTATTTTAATTTGCTATGGGGCACATGTGCTCACCAGGCAGAAACACACACACACACACAGAAACTAAGCCACTATGTATGGGACTTGAGCCAAATCTGGTCATGTGGGAGGCCAACAACCTAACCACTATGCCACTTGCCAGCCCAGCTACTGTCACTCTTATCCCATGACTTCCCCTCATTCTGGACAAACGTCTGGAGAACATTCTCTGGAGGGGGTACTGAATGGTTGGCCTGACCGAGCTGTCCCTCTCTCTCTCACAGCTGCCAAGTTCTGGGCCTTAGGTGAGCCTTGGATCTGCCCTGAGCAGTCCTTTCCCTCTCTGTGTCTCTAGCACCCAGACTGGTAGTTCTCTACGCTGGTGGTGCATCAGGACAAACTGTGTGCTTTTACAAAGCAGGTTACTGGACACCATTCCTAGCTTCTTAAGCTGTACTCTATTTGTTGTTGTTTCTTTTTCTTTCTTATTTATTTTGCCATAAGGCATGTGCACCTACCCGAGAGACAGAAAGAGGGAAAGTGAGAAATCATCTCCCAGAAGAGATGGCTCTGTTACAATCCCTTCTCCTCCATTCTCCTTTTGGGATTCTGGGCTCACATGCACACGTGCCCAGCATGATTCCCAAGCTGTTGGATCCCGGGCCCATGCTATGGTCAGTCATGTGGAAATTTTGCGCCTTAGCCACTGCACCACCTGCTGGCCCCAGGCTAGACTCTCTTACAGAATGGAATGGAAATGATATAGGAACATATTAATACTATTGTTTATGCATGAATAAATAAAGGATTAGTTGGCCCCAAATTCTGATCATTTGTACCATGAAAGTAAGAATTTTATAGTGTCTATTCACCTCTAGCCTTCCAGAGACTAAATTAGCCTTAAAACAAGTTACAGATTTCTTGGCCTCTCTGTCTTTATCCAAATAAGATTTCTCGGGATTCTTGGATAATTGTCACTACTCACTATGACTATATTGTATCATTAGTCCTCAAAAAAAAAAATATTGTTTAAATCATTTGACTGTCCTAGTACTATGGTCTGTTTCTTTCAAATGCCTCATTAATAGATTTGCTAGGCTTAGTACTTTTCACATCTGCTCATTTTCCCTTTGTCCATCACTCTGATGTTCCCTACCATGTTTATGCACTCAGATTCAATAAGTTGCACGTATGTGTATGTTTGTGTACATAATGCCTTCTTATATGTTAGCTACAGGTATGATTTTCTGAAGTTACAAATTCTTTAAACACATGTTGAGTAGTACATCTGAGAGCAGATGCTTAGTCCAGGCAGTGAAGCCAGACTGGGCAGGTGGGTGGGAGGACCATCTGTCAGCAGCCCTAAAACATCAATGGGATAAATTGGAGCCATGTTGCCATTTAACTCGACTTTACAGGTAGGTGTCCTTACACGTCTGATGAAATAGTACCTGTTGCTGCCAAAGTACACAGAGCTCTGGAGTGATCACTGCGAATCTCGTGTGTATGTCTGAATAAATAGTACATGTTGTGCTCAGAGATCCCACATTGGTCCTTTGCCTATAGAATTACAGGTGCTGGGGACTGCTAACTCTGGGATTGAAACTGAGGCAAAGTACAGCTAAGAAGAACTTTGGGGTGCACCTTACCTTTGCAACTTAATTACAATTTCTGAATGACTTTGTGTGTATTTTGTTCCTTTCTGCCCCCAGAGCACGATTCAATGCTTTCAAAGAAGTAACACCAGTGGAACTTCCTAACTGTAATTTAGTTAAAGGAATCGGTATGTATGTGAGATGAAGTGTCTTGTCTGAATTTGGGGCACTATCTTGCTCTTTATTTGATTAATATACCTGTCTAATCTTGTTCAAAAATAAAATTTCGAACCAAGAGAATATTATTGATTTGTGGTTAATTTTAACTATCACGTCGCTGACTTTTGACTTCACCAATGTATGATGTTTATAGTTTTTTTATTGTTATGTTTGATCAATAGAGTGAAAACAATAGCACAACCTTACATTTCACAGTAATGAACTTGAAGAAATGGCAAATAGGGAAAGGAAGAGGATGATAAAGCAGTGAGTGAGAATGATTTTTTAAAAAAGTAAAGAAGTTTTCACATGCCTTCAAAATTACCACAGGCGTCTCCTAATGCAGCTCTCTTTTAATATTGGAGAAGAAAATTTTTTCCCAAAGCTCTCAGCAGATTTCCCCTTAGATCTCGTTAGTAAGGGCTGGAGGACTCTGATGTCCTCCCTGCCAAGGAAGCTGGGAAAGTAATTATTGGGCCTCCATTGTGAGAAGCAGGTCCTGTCAGCAAAGACAAAAAGGCAGGGGAAGATCAGCTGGTAGACAACCAACAGGGAGTGTCCCAGGGCTCAACTCCCTAACTGGTTTGAGATCCATGCTTATGTTATATAAAGTTTCTTTTTTCTTTTTTCTTTCTTTTTTTTTTTTTTTAAGATTTCTTTTTCTCAGTTGTCTAAAGTTCAGAAGTCTAAACCAGAAGACTTATTCAATTAGTATCATTAAATATGACCACATATCTTATGGTACAATATTTATTCTAGAAATACATAGTATTGAAATTAGCTGTCTGTCACTCAGCATTTGAAAAACATGTATCTTCACTAAGAGTGTAAATTCAAAATCAAATTTTATCTCTGGATTAATTGAAAATTTAACAATTTACATGTATTTAAAGTATAACTAATTTGAAGATAGTGATATTTTACTGTACTTATAATAAATAGTAAATCTATATTCTTTCTTTAAAAAGTATTTTATTTAACTTTATTTATTTTAATTTGACCAGAGAGGGACAGAGTGAGAGAGAGTGGGAAAGTGAGAAAGCAAGCTGCCAGGTCTGGGACTCAAACCGAGGTTGGCCATGTGGGAGTCCAGCGCCCTTAATCACCATGCCACCCATCAGCCCCTGAATTTATGTTCTTGATCATTTGAAATATATACCCATTTTAACTCAAGGATCTGGAATTTACTTTTATTTCCAAAATGGTTTTTAAATGGTTTAATAGATTTTGAACTATTCAGTATATAAGGTTGGGGAACCTGCAGATGGCATAATAGTTACACTGCTGGACTCCCATGTAGTCGATGGTGGTTTGAGTCCCAGACCCAGCAGCTTAAAACTCACATTGGGCACATGTGCGTGTTTGCCCAAAATCTCAGGAGGAGAATGGAAGAGAAGTGATTGCAACATGGCCATCCCCCCTGGTGGGAGATTTCTCGCTTTTTCTCTCTCTCTCACCAGCAAATGCACATGACTTATAGCAAAAAATCTCTCTTAAAAATCTTTAAATAATATAGTTGGTACAAAAGCAAGTGTGTTTTTGCACTGTGATTTTTAAATCATTATAACTAGGCTCAAATACATTTTTATTAATCAAAATAAGATCCATTGCAGTCAACACATTTTTGCCAATGAGAAACAAGTTTGTTTATTCCTGTAACATAAAAATCCATGCCTTAGGGATTGACAAACTCTTGGGAAGCATCTACTGAATCCTGTGGAAGTATTTTCCCTGAAAAAAAAAAAAAAGTTGTCAAAATGCTTGAAGAAGTGGTAGTCAGTTGACCAAAGGTCTGGAGAATATGGCAGATGAGGCAAAACTTCAAAGCCCAACTCGTTCATCTTCTAAAACTTTGGTTGGGCATTGTCATAGGAAAGAATAGGGCCCTTTCAACTGACTAATGCCTGCTGTAGGCATTATAGTTTTTGATGCATCTCTGCTTTGTTGAGTGTACTTCTCAGATGTAATGGTTTTACTGAGATTCAGAAAGCTATAGTGTATCAGACCCCACCAAACAATGACCGTGACCTTTTTTTTTGGTGCATATTTGACTTTGGGAAGTGCTTTGGAACTTCTTGGTCCAATCACTGAAGTGGTCATCATCAGTTGTCATATAAAATCCACTTTCATCAAACATCACAATTTGATTGAGAAATAATTCATTGTTGATCATAGAACAGGAGAAGACAACACTTCAAAATGATGAGGTTATTATTTTATTTTATATTCTATTTTCAGTCAACTCATGAGGCACCCACTTATCAAGCTTTTCACTTTTCCAATTTGCTTCAAATGCCAAACTCCTGTAGAATGATCCACATTGAGTTCTTTGGCAACTTCTCACATAGCTATTGAGAGGATCAGCTTCGATGATTGCTCTCAATGGGCTATTATCAACTTCCAATGGCCGGCTACTACATTCTTCCTCTTCAAGGCTCTCATCTTTGCAAAACTTCTTGGACCACCACTGCACTGTACATTCATTAGCAGTTCCTAGGCCAATGTGTTGTTGATATGAGTTGTCTCCACTGCTTTACTACCCAATTTGAACTCGAATAAGGAAATCACTTGAAAAAATGCACATTAAAATGATGTGCAACATAACCACATTTATTTAAGAATGTATCCTATATGAAATGGCAAATTTCAGCAGTGTAAAAACTGCAATTACTTTTGCACTGAACTAATATATGTAGTTTTCTTTGTATCTTTAGAAAAATAACAAGCTCTTTTTAATTAATCAAACATTTTGTACATTTTGTGAATTTTCATAAACTTTATATAAGAAGTTTTCAGACTTTGAAGAAAAAATTCTAGTCCACCAATTTGAAGTGAATGTATTAAAGCTAAATTTTAATTATACTTGTTAATGACATTAATATCTTTTAAATTTCTACATAATAGCATTCGTTAATTCGAATAAATATTAGACTTTTAGGAAAGTCATGACATACTTTTCTATGCAAAAATGCATCATGACTTTCCCAACAACCCAATAAGTGAGAGTGAATTTTTTTTTTTGATTTTTTTTTTTTTTTTGGGGGGGTTTTTCTGGCGCATGCGCTCGCCAGACAGACAGAGAGAGACAGAGAGACAGAAAGCAGGAAATCACCCCCCAGGGGGGATGGCCACGCCGCAATCCCTTCTCCTCCATTCTCCTCTTGGGATCTTGGGCACGCACACACACACGCCCAGCCTGAGTCTAAGCCACCGGGTCTGGGACTCGAACCGCGGTCGACTACGTGGGAGTCCAGCGACATAGCTATTACGCTAACTGCTGGTCCCGAGAGTGAATTATTTTGAGCCCATCAAAGAAGACCTAATAAGTAGCTCCAATTTTCAGTTACAACAGATGAAGAAATGGGTCCTCAGCTTGCTTCAATAATGTGAGACAGTCTCTACTGCCTGTTCTATTTTCTGACAGAAACTGGCTCTGAGGACCTGGAGATCCTGCCTAATGGACTGGCTTTCATTAGTTCTGTGAGTCTTTCCTTTCACTTACCATGTACTAAAACGTTCTCTAAAAACTGAAGTCTTGTGTTGTATGGAAGGAGAGAAGGTTAGCGTTTCCCTTGACAAGGACGGAAGAGGCTCTCAGGCCTGACAACACACTAAGGTTAAGGCATTGCCACCTGCTTCGTGGCATCTAACCAATGTTTTAAAGATCATTTGGAGGAGCAGGGAGGGTAGAATTTGGTGCCTTCAGTGGACTTGGTCCAAGACAAAGCTACTGTTATTTTCATAGTGCAAGACAAAGGGATGCTGGGAATAAAATTGGCCAAATACCTACAGAAATATATTCCGTGGTGTTTCTTTTACTTTGGTGAAGCTGCTACTCCAGAAAGATTTTAATTTTATATTTTGTTTTTAATTGCCTTTTGCATTTATTTGTATCTGGTAAGACCTGGAGTGAAAGCTTTTTTACCCCCGGCAGTACAGTATGTGTTCCACTGGAATCTGGACTCTTATTGAAAAATTTGTTTTCAAGTTTATTAGCTGTTTATTTTCACTGATTTGAACATATTTTATAAATGACAAGATTCCAGGATGGGACTTGAGTTTTCTTTTTTCTTTTGGCTTTTTATTTTAAAAATGAAATGTCAATTAAAGAAGAAGAAGAAGAAAAACTGCAGTATTATAACTTAGTAAACTTGTTTTGCTCTATAGAAGAGTATTGAACTTGATATTTTAAAACATGTTTCTCCAAAGTTAGACATGATTCTCAAATACCATTTTTATTTGTATTTTGGTTTTGGTATGGTCAGATTTTCAGCTTGGTTTTCATAGTTCCTGATATTTTCAGGGAAAATTAAAATAAATTTGCTCCCTAGGGGGGAAAAAAAAAAGCTTAAGTCTCTTGCTTCAGATTTTATACACCAATACCCACCTTTAAATAAAGTGGATAGTCAGTTAAAAAATTAAGTTGTGTGTGCATTCACAGTTAGTGTTCAGTTATGATTTATGTGATCTATGAATATTCGTGGTCCCTGTGCACTCACTGAACTCTTATAATACCTTTGCTTCCATTGCAGCAATTTGTGAGCTCAATGCATTTAAGAATGGCTTCCCATTTAACTATCTCTTGAAGCACTTGAATATTTAGAGTATACTCAAATATTTACTGAATTAAGTGTAAATTTATATAGATTCCCTCACACATTTCAAGTTTCAATTTTTTTTTTTTTTTTACATTTTCAGAATTAGCCCTTTAGTATAAAATTATAATAGGTCATTCCACAATCCCCAAGAAGAAGAGAGGATATACTAAGTTTGCTAACATTCTCCTGCAGGTGGATTGCTTTGGTAGATCATTTAGCTCAAAAGACAAGAAGCAAAGCTTCTGGCTTAAAGATCATAACATAGTGGGGTTGGTAGGATATAGTAGACAGGTCATCTAGCCATTTAAAACTTGCACTTTCTATCATAAGTAATTCTGCCCAGTTTTCTCTTTTCAAAGTGGAAGGCTAGTCATTCACTAAAGCAATATCTTGCAAACCTTTTTTTTAAAACAGCAGAAATTATATTACAACCAAAATCTTATATGGGACCCCAAAATAAAAAGCAATAGCTTCGATGTTCTGATTGACAGCTAAGGAAGGAGGGGTTCTCCAGGCCTCCTGGACATCCCTAAACTATCCCTGAGATAATTCCAAGGACCTGCCAGGAGACGATTTCAAAACCATAACTAATGTTCTGTCTGTAATCCTTACTTACATTATTATTGAAGAGTATTAGTAATTGTCAAATTGGTCTGCTCATCTATTTTTTTTAAGAGATTTTTCCTGTAGGGTACAAGTACTGGCTGAAGAGACAGAGAGACAGAACCTGAGAAATCACCCCCTAGGGGGGATGGCCATGCTACAATCCATTCTCCTCAATTCTCCGCTCAGGATTTTGGGCACACACATACATGTGCCCAGTGTGAGTTTGAAACCACTGGGTCCAGGACTCGAGCTATGGTTGACGATGTGTGAATCCTGTGATATAACCATTTTACCATCTGCTGGTCCCTGCTCTTCTATTTTAGATCTTTCTCTTTGCCTAGAAGTTATGGCATGGTATACTATGACCATACAGAGGTATGAAAACTTTGTGTGGGGTCACCTGGTGAGCACGTGGTTTCCAGAGTTTCCCGTAGGCCTATTGTACATGCCAGCTGAGAGGCTTCCCACATTGCCCTGTGGCCAGTTGTGTGACTTTGAGCAGAGTGTGAACCCATGTGCCATCCACTCCTTCCATCAGCATTTTAAGTATTTACTATTTGCCTGCTTTTTCTCCTCCATTTTAAAATAAGGGATTGAAATATCCCGGAATAAAAAGCTTTGAACCTGATAAGCCTGGAAAAATACTTCTGATGGACCTGAATGAAGAAGATCCAGCAGTGCTGGAACTGGGGATCACTGGCAGTAAATTCGATTTATCATCATTTAACCCTCATGGGATTAGCACATTCACCGATGAAGGTAACAGTATTTTCTGTTTATTAATAACAAAACAAAACAAAACAAAACTGGAAGCAAAGAATTCCAATGAATGAATTACTTCTTATCCAACCAAAGCATAATTCTGAATAAAGTTCTTATTCTGGATTTTAAACTTACCGCCTATATTAATGAAATATTTAAACCACTTACATGTTTAATAACTCTAAAATATTTAAGATTTGTAAAACATCTAATTTGTAAAATACTGCCATTCACATTATTCCTATAATTACTATAATAATGTATTCAGTCCTAATCATTATAGGTTTTCCATTTTAAACCATTTTAAAGACAGAGGCATTTACAGAATAGGTTTTTCTTTTGTTTTTCATTTGTTTGTTTGTTTGTTTTTATCATACGGTACATGCTCTCGCTAGAGAGAGCGACAAGGAGAGAGAAAGCGAGAAATCACCACCACCACCCTAAAGGGGTTTGGCCATGCCGCAATGCTTTCTTCTCCTGAGATTTTGGCCTCATGCCCACACACACACACACCTAGTGTGATTTTCAAACCTCCAGGTCCAGGACTTGAACTGCAGTCTGCCAAGTGGGAGTCCAGCACCTTAACCACCGTATATCTACTGGCCCCAAGAATAGGTTTTTCTATCCTAAGCTATACGCAGACTACAGGCACAGCCGCATGATCAGTTCTCTTTGCCCCATGTCACCTTCAAAGCCTTTCTGTCCCCTGGGTCCTCTGTCCTGTGTTCAGACTGCTCCTCCATGCCTGGATATCTCTCAAAATAACTCATTGCCCCATCTCTTATGACTTCATCTCATTTCTTTTTCTTTCTTTCTTTCTTCTTCCTTCCTGCCTTCCTCCCTCCCTCTCTCTCTCTCTCTCTCTCTCTCTGTCTCTTTCTTTCTTTCTTTCTTTCTTTCTTTCTTTCTTTCTTTCTTTCTCTCTTTCTCTTTCTTTCTTTCTTTCTCTCTTTCTTTCTTTCTTTCTTTCTTTCTTTCTTTCTTTTTCTTTCTTTCTTTCTTTCTTTCTTTTTCTTTCTTCTTTTCTTTCTTTCTCTGCTGCTATTTCCTTGTTCGCTATATTAATTTTCAAACCCAGCTATACGCAGAAGCACCTAAGCCCAATATTCAGGCCCAAATCCTGAGTCAGTTGATCTGATGAAGTCATTGGTGGCAAAACTTGTTAGAGTGTCCAGGTGATGAAAATGTAAGGCTAAAATTGAGAACCATGTCTACAGCCCTTGTCTTCATTTTCTTGTCAGATGATCCTTCCATTCTTCTTCCAGACTTTCTTTATTGCAGGTGGCTAAAATCACTTCCTTGAGAGTCATCTATAATGTCCTTATTAACAAACCTCCTCTCCTTCATCCATCCCTTCCTCTTGCTTCTTTCTCCCCCTCTCCCTCCCTCCCTCCCTTCCTTTCTTCCTTTCTCTATCTCATTTATGTTGTTAAACACTTTCTCTTTCAGTAAAAATACTCCTCCTTGGGCAGCAGATGGAACAGAGGATAAGGACTCCCACATAACTGATTGTACAGTTTGAGTCCCAGACCTGGCAGCTTGAAACCCACATAGAGCGCATGTGTGTGCATGCCCAGAATCCCGAGAGGAGACTAGAGGAAAAGGATTGTGGTGTGCCTTCGCCCTACGGAGTGATTTCACACTTTCTCTCTCTCTCTCTCTCTCTCTCTCTCTCTCTCTCTCTCTCTCTTCAGCAAGCACATGTGCCCAATCACAAACTAAAAAAAAAAAGAAAAAAAATGTTCTTCCTTAATATTCTCATGCACTTACCTGTCCTGGTTCAGATCCTACTGTGGGTTTTCTCTCTTATTCGTTGTTTTATCACATGTTGACAATTCCCTAAGCATGTCCCCAGAGGTTTGTTCTTTTATCTCCTCCGTTTTCACTATTTCAGAAATTTCAAACATGTCACAGCTATAACTGTGCCTGCTTTCTAGGGGGGAACATTTCCAAATATGGGGTGTTACGATTCTTTAATTTTTTTTTTTTTGAGATATTTTTGCTATAGGGCACGTGCGCTCGCCAGACAGAGAGAGACAGAGAGACAGAAAGTGAGAAATCACCTCCCAGGGGGGATGGCCATGCCACAATCCCTTCTCCTCTATTCTCTCAGGATCCTGGGCACACACACACACACACCCGGCGTGAGTTTAAGCCACCAGGTCCAGGACGTGAACCGCGGTCGACTACATGGGAGTCCAGTGACATAGCCATTATGCCAACTGCTGGCCCCAACGATTCTTAATTATCTCTTCAGTTTCATTACTGCTGGTGCTTACTACATACATCTATTCTAGTTCCTCTCCTATAGCCACTTTAAAATTATTTTTCCATCCTCTTATCTCTTTTACATATGACTTCTTTTTATATATGCATACCTATCTTTTGGGCCCTGGTGTGTTTTTCTATACAAACATGCATTATGACTGTTCTGATGACTCTCTATGTATCTATGTATGTCTGCCTATGATATTATATACATGTATTCATCCCTATATACACACACACACACACACACACACACACAAACACACACACACACATACATCCCTTTCAATAATTTCTCCATCCATTTACACATTCATCATCATATTTTAGTTTCAAAATATTTTCAAGAAATATAATGTTTAGTGTATGTATGCTTTGTAAAATAAAAATAGGACAATATTCCACAAACTTCTACAACTTTCTTTCGTATTAAACACTATGTCATGGACTCCTTTTTATGGCAATACACTCAGACCTACTTGCAATGGCTGCTCAGGATTCAGTTGTGTGGAGTACCATAATAGAGTTCGCCTGTTGCTGAATAGTTAGGTTTTTCCCACGCTTATGCTCATGGCAAATAATCCGAAGAAACCTTCTTGTACATGTATCTTTTGTGATTTCCGTAGGATAAACATACAGAGTAGAATCTGCTGCACAAAATATGAACCTGTTTTGATCCTTACTGTTTGGGTTCTGACGCTCTCCTTCCTCAGCCATTGTCAGGGTCTTTTGACACATTCTGTCAAATGGCTCCCATGTCCTTTTCTGCCTTTTTGTGTCAGCAGCATCCTCTGGTCCAGTCCCATCTCTTAGCTCACTAGATTACTGCTATAGCCTCAGGTCATGGTATGCCTTGGTTCAGAGTCCCCAGTAAGTAAACTCTTGATCCTTACCGTAAATTCTTTTTAAGATGGAAGCTGGTTCAATGAACCTTATGGCTGCAGTTCTCCTACTCTCCCACTCTTTCTTCCCTTCACGTTGCTCCAACCCCAATCTCACCATTAAGTGAATGTGTCAAGGAAGCTCCTGCCTCAGAGCTTTTGCACACTCTCTTCCCTCAGCCTGGATGCTCTGTCTCCAGATACACTTATGGTTTGTTCTCTTACATTTATTTAGGTCTGTGCTCTGACATCACTTCATCAGAGAGAATGTCCCTGACTCCCGTGGAGGAAACACCCCATTATTCTCTATTCAACTTAACTCTGTTTTATTTTTCTGCTGTAGAATTTAACACCAGTTAAAATAAATTAAACACTTACTTCTTGAATGGGTTCATGAAAAGCAACTTTGCTTTCTTCTCTGTTCACACCTCTTCAGTTCAACCTGATGAAATTTTCACCACT